GTTTTCTATTGTGCCATAAAAAGGTCCAGAGGGGACATCAATTTATGTAAGTTCTGGGAGACACCACCTCACTTCTCTTTTCCCTGTTCAATGGTGCATTATACAATAGGAGCATCTACAATCCATGGGAAAGGACCTCCCACCCATCCTTGAGGCATTCTCAGCCTTAGTGAATTACTCGACATAAGTGCTCCCTGAGCAGCTGAAATGGAGTCAAATCACAAAGCCTGATGTGACCAAGGCTGGACAGGGGCTCAAACATTGCTGGTGGGAAGATAGATTGATGCAGACTTTGGGAGAGCAATTAGCCAATGTGTCAGAAGGTTTTGAAAATGGGTATCCCCTGTGACCCAGGAAATGTTCTTACAATGACTTTACCCCCACTCCCAGAATAAATATAAGTGACCAGTAGGTTAGCTACAAGGATGTCCATATAGCATAGCTCATAGCAGTGAAAGAATGGCAAAAACCTAAGTGTCCACCTATAGGAACTGTTAAAACTGTGGTACGTCCATACAACGGAATAGTATGCAACCAATAAAAATAATGTCAGAACACTAATATGTGGTGAAAAAATCAGAACAGTCCTGGCTTGGGAGTGTAGGGTGGGGATTAACCAGGAAGAGGCATGAGAGAACTTTGTAAATTGATGGTAATGGCTTACACCTTGATAGGGGTTTGTTTTACGCAAGTGTGTGCATTTGTCAAACTCCTTGCATGGTTCTTTTGTGAATTTCACTGTATGTAAATATTCCTGAAAGAACCATAAACAGAGCTCTAGTTAATTATATGCATGCTGAAGAATTTAGAGGTGTGGTGTAGTGGTGTCTGCAACTTACTTGGAATCTATATTAAAAAAAGAATGAAAGATTGGTGGGTAGATAGAGTGATGGAGAAATGAATAGATATTGAATAATACAAATACTAAATCAAAATGTTAATTACAGAATTTAGAAGGTAGATTTATAGGGGCTCACTCTGTAAATTATTTTAACTTCTCCGTATGTTTGAAAATTTTTATTAAAAATAGGGGAAATGACAGAATATCTAATGATACTCAATAATTATTAAAATATGTTTAATTTCATTTTGTTGAAATGGTAAATGGCTTATTTCTAAGTATTACAATTAGAAATGATTTGCTTATCTTCACACTTTTTAACAATGTATGTATGATAGCTTGTGATTACAATCTGCTTCTTAACATCCTGTTTCTCTTACCACTCAAAGTGAAAATTAAGGCCAGTGTTGCCAAGCAAGTGACATGGAAAGATGCCATGCCACATGTTCTGTGAGGGCAACTTAGAGCCTTCATTGACAAAGGTCATGTCAAGTAATTTTGCCATCACAGCCACAAAAAAAATGTGCCTTTTTCCCCCTGAAATTTCTAAACCCTCAGAGGCACGTTGTTCAATAAATAAATGTTATTTTCTTTGAGACCAAACTACAGGCATCTTGAAGATAGTCGTCTGAGCTGGTGTGATACCACTCTTCACACCTGAATTCCAAACTACTCCATCAACCAAATTCAAATTCTACTTCCTGTTTTTTCTATGTGAATTATGGAATGTTTAATGTGATGAGCCAGATGGGGAATAGAACTATTAGAAGAAATGTGCTCAGTGGGTCTCACACCCTCAGTAAGTGAGGAGTGGTAGATCCTCATGGGCTCTCATAGGATACAAAAATAATTTGCACACACTGTTATTTTTTTATGAAGTACTGAAAAGGACATTTATATTATTTGCTACACCTGACATTTCTAAGAGTACTCTAACAATTCCTTTTCTACTTTTGATTTATTGGTAAAAATACTTTTACCCTCCTATTTAAGTTTTTAAAAATTTTCTAACTTACATATGGGAAAATTCAATTTTCTTGTATGTGATTATATGACTTCTGACAAATGCATTGTCATGTAACTACAACCTTAATCAAAATGCACATTCTTTTCTTTCAAGAAGCACACATATAAGTATTGGACATCTCTGGCTATAGCCATTTTTCAGAATATTATCTCTGAGTTCATTTTGTGCCTGGATAAACAGGGGTTACATGAAGGTCATGGAACTTCTTTGCTGAAAAGCAGCATTTGAAGTAGTGTTTTGTAAACATCTATCCTCTTCGTGAAACAAAGTATATTTCAGGGGGGAAAATTAATTAAGGTGTGGGTTGGGGAAAAGTCTGTGTGAGCAAATGAAATGATCTTTTGTAAGATAAGTTCAAAATCAAAATGTTGAGCACAACTGGATGGTGTTAGTAGCACTGATATTTGACTAGAGCATGGGTGTTAGAGACAAACTCCCTAAGTGTGCATCTCTTTAATTTTTTTTACCATTTTACCAAGGTATAATGAATATACAAAAAATACTTCATGTGTTTAATGTTTACAATTGATACATTTGCCTGAGCTCAAATCTTGCTCTGCCACTTGCTACCTATGTGACATTGGGCAAAATGCTTAACCTCTTTGTGCCTCAGTATTCTCATCTATAAAATGGATTATAATAGCATCCACCTTGTAAGGGTAGATAAGGTCTTAAGCACATGGTAGTCAGTCAGTAAACATTAGGTATTATTATCTTCATTATTACTATCAGGAAATCTTATTTTCATGAATATGATTCCTTTCAGACACGTATGCCTGGATACAGCCACACTGAAAATAACACTGAAACGGTCAGGAGAGGGGGGCTTGCATTTGACTTCCTGCAAGATTTTTAGTGGAAAATTCTACCAAGAGAGGCTGGTGAAGAAAACCCCAAAAGCTTTTACTCCAGGGCAGATAGGAAGCCAATTGGACAGAGATTCCCTTTAAAAAGTTTGACAAGCCACACATGCCCACTCACCATGCTTGGAGGCAGAGTTGGCAAGGCAGGGACGCAAGAATGTTATGGGATACCCCTTCTCACAGGAACACATTTACTCCCATTTAAGAAGCTGAAATGAGGAGGCTGAGGAGGGTGGCTCTTAGGCAGGGGTGCTTTGTGTTGCCTAAAAATGCTGGTTTTAAATGAAAGGCAGATCCCTGTAAACAGACACATTACACCCCCATCCCAGCTTTAGGAGATGAGGGAGAAGTGGTGCTCATTGCTTACCACACTTCTATGGACACTGGAATCTCAGCTCTTACTGAGGTTTCAAAAACAGTTCCAGGAAATTGTTCTTGGAAAAGGACAATGCAGTGCACTCACCACCTGTGTTTGTGAAGTTGCTGAATGGGCTGGCTTGGGCCTGTTGTCACCCCCAGTGTGGGCCCCTTCACTCCCTTTCTGTCACCCGCTGAAGCCTGGTTTCCCTGTTCCCATCCCATCCACCAGCCTAGCTTCCCACAGCTCCCATCATGCTGCCACAAGATGCAATCCTGCTCACCCCACCATTTCTCTGCGGGGCTAGTGGTTCAGCACTGCCAGTGCTGCCTCCTAGACTCAGTCTTCCTGTGTCTCGTTCTTTCCCACAATCCAATCACACTCCAGCTGACAACCCAAGTCTCCCCAGGCCCTGTGCCGGCTGATGCTTTCTCCAAATTGAAGAACAATTTAGGGGGAACTAAGTGAGGATTTCAGCTGAGGACTTGGAACTGGAGGCCACCGAAGAGCCAGGAGATTGGCATAGGGTGTCTAGGGTCAGGATACACCAAGGCAAAGGGGCTGCATCAGGCAAATTTTCAGTACCATGTTTTTTTCTCTTAAATTTCTGGCATTTGAAGACATTCTGGAGAATTTTGGCTATTTCCTCACCTAACTCTAGTCACAGCAGACAAAAATATGCCCATAATACTTGAGATTAACAGAGAGCATGAAGTGGATGTGTGTCTATGTGGGTCTGTGGGTGGTGTGGGTGTGGGTGTGTCTCTGTGTACCTATGTGTGTGTCTCTGTGTATGTATGTGTGTCTCTGTATGTGTCTGTGTTTGTGTGTATGTGTATTTGCTTTGGGTTTCTGTTTACCAAAGCCTGTATTTTTTAAATTAAAGTTTATTGGAGTGGCAATTGTAAGCAAAGTTACATAGATGTCAGGTGTACAATTCTGTAATACATCATCTATATATCACATTGTGTGTTCACCACCCAGAGTCAGTTCTCCTTCTATCACCATATATTTGATCCCCTTTACCCTCATCTACCACCCCCCTCTCCCCTTACCCTCTGGTAATCACTAAACTATTGTCTGTGTCTATGAGTTTTGTTTTTTTAAAGGTATTATTACACTTTTAATATGACTACTACTGAACTAATTTTAAACTTTCATTTTTAAAGACAAGAATTCTTATTAAAATTACAAAAATGTAACATTTTTAAGGTATGATTCATGCAGTGTCAGATTTTCGAACTAAAATAAATGAATAAGGATGGAACCTAACAAGTATTAAAAATGTGATTCAATACTTAAGAAAATTACAAGTGATTCAGCCTTAGCTTAATTGTTAAAAAGATCATGAAATTCTTTATGCAAGGCCATCTTCACAGACTATTTATCTCAGACT